CATGTGACATCAGTGGTTCATCCGCAATTATACTGAAGCTACGAGAATATTTTTGTGCGCTAAAGAAAAAAATAAAGACTTTATTCAACAATTCGTCTCCTCCACGTGACCCTGCAGCGCTATTTTGGAGAGTATCAGCTGGACGTAAACAGCGCATGCTTTTTTCAGTAATTAATGACAGAATTATCATTTTTGGGTGAACTATCCCTTTAATGAATGACATGATCAAACAGGCAAAAGAAACCAGAGGCTGGCTTACAGTCCGTCAAATGATAAACGTTACATGAATGAATATTTGCGCTGCTGAAAGGCAAAAAAGTTCACAGTTGTGAGGAAAAACAACTATAATTAATGAAAATCTTAAACATTTGAAAATGAAATTAACCATTATGTGTCAATCTGACCAATCAAACGAAGAAGAATAAACCAGCCTTACGAAATGACATAAAATGAAATGAAACATGATGCTATCATACGAGTCCAAAAACTACAATTAATTCATAATTAACTGATGATGATGATCATTTCTTTTGGCTGCCGTTTCATTTCATTTCGAGACATTTCATGCTATAATAAATCAAGCAATAACAGAGATGTGAAATGAAAACGCGATTATTATGTTACTGAATAATATTGAGTGCATCACTGCTGAATAATAAATGCACGAAAGCCTCTCCAAATTATGCAAAACGAGAATATTAGCAGACAGGCCGCTTCTGTTTTCCTCTGGGGACATTTAAGACAATGCAACCCACCCCTGTACAATAACAGACAAGTACAGGTGCACATGAATATTCAGCTTCGTCTGGTGAAAGATGTGACAGTGCTGGAAATAAACAGGCAACGGATTCACAACAGGATGGCAAGTGAGAGCAGAAAACGCTTTCCTAACGTCAGACTGAAGCTAGTCCTGACACAATAAACATCCTCATTAATCTGTGACTTTCCTACAGGTAAATACTGTTTACATTGACTGTTGTTTAAATGTATGATAAATTGAACTTTGTGGGGGGTGGAAATACATATTATATGTTTGGTATGGAATACTAGTATAGGACTAACTTAGCCTTGTGAAAAATAAGTACTCCTTTAAAAAGAGCACTTATTACAGAAACAATATACTTGAAAAGCATATAACGAATATAATGAATGAAGTGTAAAATGAATGGAATGTTTTGGACTCTTAATTGTATGTTAAATGCAATTAAACGAAAATTATATAAAATCAATTTAGATTAAAAGCAATCAGTCGTACTTAAAGGGATAGTTCACCCAAAAATGAAAATTACCCCATGATTTACTCACCCTCGAGTAGAGGTCTGCAACCCAATACTTTCGGGTTTCGGTTCGGGTTCGGGTTAATGTTTAATGAATAGCTTCGGGTTCGGGTCGGATTCGGGTTAATGTTTAATGAATAGCTTGGGTTGGATTCGGGTTAATGTTTAACGAATAGCTTCGGGTTCGGGTTCTGGCCGAGCCTTAATGATTCTGTTTCTTTACATGTATTTGTTTACTGACCGTTGCATGCAATCGTGAAATACAGCATTTTTTTTTTAATTGGCTATTCGTTGTGGGGAACAAAAAAAAAGATTTCGGGTTCGGGCTCTAAATTTAACTGTGCCGCTCGGGTCGGGTCAGACGATCTCGGGGACGGG